AGATGTGAAACCTGATTGGTTTATTTTCCCGCACGCATGGGAAGAGATTTGACAATGGTTTGTTGTTAATTCAGCCTTGCGCTAGGCACGTGTATGATCACACGATTCACAGATTGACCATCGTACCAGACCCTTGTACTCCACGAGACTTTGCACAACTTTATTCTTGTCCTAACGCTTGTTTCATTAACTTAACTTAAATTAATAATGCTATGGGCATGTATAAACTTGCTATACACCACTAAACAATTAATATTATTGAATTGCTTGGCCAAAAGTTCAAGGCATGCGCCTGCAATATAATCCAATGAAAATTTATTGATGCCTATAAGCATGCTTTAATATCTCAAGAAGTAGGATTTCGCTGCTTTTATTCAATTTTTATGAATATATAAATTTTTTAGGAGATGTCAGTCTTTTAATGACCTAAAAACGACTTCAAAGTTATACGTAACAGTAGTAGGAAAACGCCGGTTCTGGCACACTAGCCTAATACTTCATGTTATACAAATTATAGAGGATTTACGCACCTCATACGCGCATCTGATGACGTCACTTCCGGTTTATAAGATCACGTGACCACCACGTGACCACGCAAAGTCTCGCCAAAGTCTCCCCAAAGTCTCCCCAAAGTCTCTCCAAAGCCCCACCAAAGCCCCACCACCCCCCGCCTAGGGAAGTCTTCCATAAGTCTTCCATTGCGCATGTTTTGGATCACGTGACCTATGACGTCACTTCCGGTTGAATCATTGCTTCTAAAATTTTTTTTAAAAATTTTTTTCTATGTAATAAAAGGATCCCATCCCTTCAGTTCCCAGGTCCTGGAACAAGTTGTCATTCCTATTTTTAAACCCTTTAGGTTTGAAAAAGGCTGAGTCAGCATTTCTGAAATTTTTTTTAATTTTCTTTTTTCTATATAATAAAGGAATGGCAACTGAAAGGACACCGGGAATTACCGAGAGACTGAAGGGATGGTACAACTGGCTAACCACCCACGTACCATCATCCATCAGGAAGGGCGTGTCCAACGCTTTTAATACCATGACCAAAAAGGTTGTAATACTCTACAGCGGTAAAGAGGAAGAAGAAGACCAGTGGTACGACGCAAGGGAGAACTTTAGCGATGAGGATGAACAGTGGTACGACGCCAATCCGGAAGAGGGCCTAAAACCAGTCCTAACCAAGCGTGGTATAAAAAAGAAGGTAAAGAAGTATGTCATGGCGATCATAAATTCTGAAACAGAACCTAGGAACGTAGGCATGTCCCTAGCATGCGAGATGATAAGGAACGATCCAAAAAGTGAGGAGGAAGTATCCGTCGTCGCACACTTCAAATCGAAAGCCCACAAACTCACTGGTATAGATGATACGGAAGAGTCTTTTAACACCATGAAGGAAAAAATGCTAAAATCCTTTTCCGAATACCAGACGCGTGGTAGCGGGTGGAGGCTTCGGAGGGTAGATCTGCTCGAAATTCATATCGGAGAATACCAACCGCTAAGGGGAAAGGTTACGCACCATTATCCGCGACGATCAGGAAAAAGAAAGCGATCATCAACATGAAGAACTACGACGATGAATGCTTCAAGTGGGCTGTGACACGCGCACTGAATCCTATAAACATCCATCCGGAAAGAATTTCAAAGGAACTCAAGAAACAGTCCAGAAAGATAGACTGGGAAGGGATAGAGTTCCCAACACCCCTGAACAACATCAGGAAGTTTGAAAACAACAACAGTATCGGTGTTAACGTGTTTGGTCTTGATGGAAGCCATAAGGTATGCCCCTTACGAATATCCAGCAGTACCAATTCCATAAACCTTTTCCTGTGGAAGAACCACTATACTGTCATCAAGGATATGTCGAGACTTGTAGGCGAACAGGTCAGCGATCATGGACATAAAAAACACATCTGCAACCGTTGCCTCAACGCATTCGGATCGAGCGAACTCCTGGAAAGACATCTGGAGTTATGTTCGAACAATAACTATCAGAGGCATGAGTATCCAGAACCCGGTACTACTACGGAGTTTAAAAATTATGAAAGAACACAAACCGTTCCGTTTGTCATCTATGCGGACTTCGAATGCTACATCGAAGGGATGGACACGGTTGAGTAAAACGCTAACAGATCAAGTACCACCCAATACTAAAAGCACAAGGTTAGGGATCACTGTCACTACACGGGAGCGTACAGGGGTGCGGCACACAGTACGTGTAATTTAAGAATGAGAGGACCGAGATTCATCCCGGTACTTTTTCACAACCTCGAAGGATACGATGCTCATCTATTCATTAAAAACCTTGGGATAAGTAGTGGAGACATCAAATGTATTCCTAAAACGGAAGAGAAGTACATTTCCTGTACTAAGGAGATAGAGGTCGCTAGGTTTATCAACGAAGAAGGAAAGGAGAAGAAGGCCAAAAAGGGAGCTAAGGTTCATTGACTCATTTAAATTCATGGCAAGCTCCCTGGACAAGCTCGTCAAGGGTTTGGGTAAGGACGACTTCAAAAATTTGGATTTGATGTTAGGTCGTAACACTAAGGAACAGAGGGAGTTGCTTAAGCAGAAGGGTGTTTACCCTTATGAATATATGGATGGTTTTGAGAGGCTTAAAGAAACATCGCTCCCGCCGAAGGAGAAATTCTTCAGCAGGCTTAACAACGAAAACATCAGCGATACGGATTATGAAAGAGCCTGTACCGTATGGAATACGTTCAACATGAAGACCATGAGGAACTAACATGATCTGTATCTGAAAACGGATGTCGATCTTCTAGCAGATGTGATGGAAAACTTTAGAAAGGTTTGTAAGACCAACTACGGATCGGATCCAATGTGGTACTACACAGCACCCGGGCTGGCATGGGACGCTGCGCTGAAGTTAACCTGTGTGGAGCTGGACCTCATATCCGATCCGGATATGTACCTATTTATCAAAAAGGGTATTAGAGGCGGGATCAGTACCATTACCAAAAGGTATGCCAAAGCAGATAATAAATATATCAGACCACCTGAGGACCTGACCTGGTTGGAAAGGCTTAAGGTTACAGAACACCTTTGTGTGTTAATTTTGCCTAAAATTTTTTTATTGGTTTTCATGAAAGTATTAGACTAGTTCTACTGCCTGACCAAGTTTGAACGAAAAATGTTGGAAACTCGCAGAGTTATAATAAAATACATTTCGCTGCAATAAGAAAAACATTGAAAATGTAATATTCAAATTTTCTCCCGAAGAATTTTACGGCAATTACTGATTTTCAAACGAGTTGTGCTCCTGCGGGTTTTAACGAATTTCTCTTAAATTTTCACAGGACGTAGCTAAAGACATCAGTTTTAAAATCATATTCGGCTTTGTTCTAATTTTGGATATTTTAATAATAAAGAGCAATTCACTCAAACAATTCAGAAATATATTGCAGTCGTCAAAGAAATCGCCATATCAGCGGAATGACGAAATAAACAAAAATTTCCGAACACTATTTTTTAGAACAACTATTTTACTGTTTAAAAATGATATTTTCATAAATATAACTTAAAACCAGCAGGAGCACAACTCAAAAGCGTAACGGTACCGCGATTTAAGATTTTCCTGAATAATTCTAACATTATTTTATTGTTTGTTAATTTTATAACTTTACCATATTTTGCATGCACTGGCGAACATTTGGTGAAAATTTGATAAAAATCGGACCGATTTTGAGCGCGCAGTAGCGATTTTCCGCAAAACGCCAAAAAGGGTGTCCTGTAACCTTAAAAGATGGATAATGGAAAGGTTTTCCGGTCTACCGGCTGTAATCATGTCTATGATCAACTTGATTACCACAATCATTACCGGTACAGAACTGGTGGTTCGTTGTAGTGAAAAGCGGTCTACATACCTCCCCTATATGGACGCCAACAACCTATACGGATGGGCAATGAGTCAGACCCTACCCATCAAGGACTTCAAATGGATGACGACAACGAGTTGGAAAAATGGAAGGAGCACAGCTGCATCCTCGAATTGGATCTGGAACATCCTGACGAACTACACGACAAACATAATGAATACCCCTTCGCACCCGAAAGGATAATGGTTAACAAGGTGGAAAAGCTTGTTCCTAACCTCAACAACAAGGAAAAATGCGTCCTTCACCACAAGAACCTAAGATAGTACCTGAGCCTGGGGTTAAAGCTCACTAAGATTCACCGTGTACTGAAGTTCTACGAAAAGCCCTGGATGAAGGAATATATCCAGCTCCACACGGATCTGCATACTAAAGGTATTACAGACTTCGACAAGGACTTCTTTAAGCTTATGAACAATTCGGTATTCGGAAAGACGACGGAAAATGTTAGGAATAGGGTCGACATAAGACTTGTTAATAACGAGAAGAAGTGGAACAAGCTGGCTCAGATGCATAGCTATAAATCTGCAACCATATTTTCCGAAAACCTAGTGGCAGTTCATATGATGAAAACATCCGTAAAACTGAATAAACCTATATACTTAGGGATGAGCATTCTTAACATCAGTAAGACCCTCATGTACGACTTCCATTACAATTACATTAAACCAAAGTATGGGGATGATGCGAGGCTCCTATTCACGGACACGGACTCCCTATGCTATGAAATTAAAACCGAGGATTTCTTCAAGGATATATCCGGGGATGTCTACGAAAGATTCGACACCAGCAATTTAGGTAAGGTAACCACCTATCCGCAATCCAAACGGGTGTAAACAAGAAGGTTATCGGGATGATGAAGCTGGAAACGGGTGCAAAACAAATTGAAGAGTTTGTGGGATTAAGGTCAAAGCTATATGCTACAAAATGGCGGAAGACGGTGGTGAGGAGAAAAAGTGTAATGGGGGTCAAGAAATAGTCATCAAAAAAGAAATAACATTCGAAAATTATAAGGAATGTCTCTTCAGCGGTGAGAAACAATGGAGGGGAATGAATGTCTTCAGAAGTAGGTTACACGAAATATATACGCAAAGGGTTTTCAAGGTAGCCTTATCGGCAAACTATGACAAGAGGATAATCATGAATGATGGAATCCACACGCTAGCAATCGGACACAAAAGCCTAAGGTAGTAAAAACCTAAACGAACCAATTTTAATATCAGAAGGAACATTAGAATTTAACGGGTCAACAGTAACCTTGTAATTACGAATCCAGACCCCAGTCCCAATATTCCGATCGTGATCTGCTGGTATTCTTCCATTTCGCTCGATGGTTTGTAGTAATCGTGAATTGTTGGTTCTTTATCCAGGGTTAATTCCTTTTGCGCTTTCCGCAGGGAGTCCAGAGCACGGTTCGTCGTTTCCATATCCGATTTGGCGTCGACCAGTTCCTGCCTGAGTATTGCAATTCTGTTCTTTTTTCCCACTTGACTTTCGTACCATCTTTCTTTAACTCTGGCTAATTTTTCCAACGCTTTGTTATGCCTTTTCATTTCGTCCTCGTACCCACTGTGGTTTAATTTGCTGAACTGGTATCCGGCTCCTGCGAATGCTACGGCGTTGGATAGTCCTCCGACTACGACGCTTGTCATCTCCCTTTATTATAATGGTTTATTTGAAAGGATCATCCGGTACTAGTTTTTTGAACATTGCAAGTAGTGAACTCCAACCGCACCGACTCCAAAGGCAACGGCTATTTTTAGAATTCCTTTCGGACTACTAAGTACTCGAGACTGTCACCTGCAAATATTTGCTTACCACGGACACAGCGACTGCTCCGAGTGTAATAAGTCCGGCGTCGAAGGCTTCGTTCATAAAGTCCTTTCTATCTCCCATGCTTTATTATATATGTTCTTATTTATTTTTTAGTCTTTTCCAGGTTTATAGGTGTGTGTAGTTTTTTCGGATTTATCCGTAAGGACGTTTATGAGGTCGTATCCAAATTCTGTAATTCCCAGCAACACCAGAACTTGTTTTGGGGTAAAGCCGCTGTTTACTGCAATTGCGGCAATTGCGCCAAGCTCTTTTGATGAGCTCGTTTGTGTTACTTACGATGAGCTCGTTTGTGTTACTCATTTATTATATAGTGTTTTTCTTATTTTCTTTTTCTGTATTCATTGTACAGGAAGTAGGTCAGTGCCAGAGCTAAAATCCAAAGATTCTTCGCCAGGAAAGCAATCCCCTTTGCTCCCCATGACAGAACCTTAGCGACGAGGTTTAGTACGGATGCTAGTACGGGTCCAATCTTTCCGGCTAGGTTTGCCATTGCTTTTGCGAACTTGCTCGTTGCTCTCGCTCCCTTAGCTTTTTTGCTACGCTTCTAGCTCCCATAATAATCGTACGTGGTGATGATACCAGCCACATATATTGCTACGGCTGATATTCCAACTATATTTTCTCTTGCCCATTTCTTAAATCTTTCGAACCTTGTAAGGTCGTTTCTTTCTACCTCCTCTTCCACGATGGACATGGCTTTCGGTCCTTTTGGTCGTTCGTTCGATCTTAACCTTATTTCATCCGCTTTCAATTCTGCCATGTCTGCCATTGCTTCGTACAAGAGGGCCTTTTGTTCACGTCCTGCAATTTGTTCGGTTTCAGCCAGTTCTTTCCAGTGATTTTTTTCTATTTCAAGGTACTCAATTTTTTGCTTACCCGAGTTTCCTTTTACGTTCAGGATACCTCCCAGTTCCCTTAGTTCGTTTTACGTTATAATTGTACTATTACCGATAGATTCGCTTTGATTGGACAGTTCGTCGTCCATCCTTTCAACGATATTTTCCAAAACATTATCCACAAGTTCCTGAGGAGCATCCAGGTTCTGTCGTTCAAGTTGTTCCTCCACTTGGGCTGCTGGTGTTTTTGAATGCTCTATTTTAGCTTTTCTAATCAGTTCCTTGTATTCGTTTACGACGGATTCCTTGTTCTTGTCCGTGGAGTATATCATTTTACCATTTTTCGAGATAATGATCTTGACATCTTTGAATGTCGCACCGTTAATTTTTGTTCCGGCCTTATTTGCGGTTAGCTTCATTTTTTCGAAGATGATGGTGGAAGATGGACCGTCCCTTTTATTGATATTTACTCCAAGTTCCTTTTTGAGGAAATCCTTTTTATAGGCCCGTTTCATTACCCCAACATCCCGTCTGATGTTCGGTGTGGAACCGCTAGGTCTTGATCCGTTGACGTCCGGATTGAATCCGACGGGAATTAATATACTTTCGTCCCGTCTAGTTGTTCGTAAGCTCGTTTAAGGCGTCGACCCAATTGTAAGTCCATTTGCTGCAGAAATACTTCCACATCATTGTCTTCAAAGTTCTGTTGAATCTTTCAACGATAGTTGCCTTTCTGTCGGAGTTTGTGGAAAAATAGCGGACGTCGTGTTTTTGTAAGAGGTCCCTAACACCAACATTGTAGAATTCCTTTCCCTCGTCGAACTGAGCAACTTCCGGGTATTTCCCAAAGCTTTTCTTGAATTCTTCCAGTAATAAGTTCACCGCCCTAGTCATGTTTTTCGTATCTTTTCTGTAGACGGGAATAGCAAATCCGTACCGGCTCAGGATCTCTACAGCTGTTAGTATCCAGTAATATCCTTTGTTCTGATTTTTGTATTTTCCCATATCCACCAAATCCATCTGCACTTGGTCCGCCAGGTCCTTAACGAATGTCCTTTGGAATTTGTGTTTTCTAACGATAGGCTTATACCTTGTGTAGGTGTCCTGGGTTTTTAACCAATCCTTTACTATTTTCCTACTAACGTCCAGTCCCTCCTCCTTTGCCTTACGGTAGAGCTTCTCCGCGGATTGATAACCGGTACTTGGATTGTAGTAGATATCACTTAACCCTTGTTCGGTAATAAAGCGTCCGTCTTCCATTTTATTTATGTGATATAAAATTCGAGGAGTGCGGACAAGGAAAATCTGTTGTGGGAACTGTTATTAACATAAACCCTACTTCCAATATCCTTGAAAAACGTTGTTGTTCCGTTTAGATGTTGGTCGGTTGTCACGGGTAGCGTGCCCACCGTAAAACTTCCATCACCATCTACGTCAAAATTTAGGGATGTATTAACAACATCACTGTCTATGGTAATATATTTAAGATCGCGATTAATATCTATAGGATAGGGAGATCTTTCCCACACTTCGGAGGTTAGGATCTCCGTTTCTGGAAATCCTATTAGCGGAGCAAATTCATTTAAATGTAAGTTCACCTTGGCTGCCGGATAAATTCTGCAGGTATTGTCGTGCGTGTTTCGTTCTATTTTTATTCCGTCTGCCTTCAGTTTTTTCTTTATTGCATCGAAGGTCCAGTAGCCTTCGTTAAATGTAATTTTCTTCTGTCCGTAGGTAATACTATCGTTGACACCCGAACGTACGTTCTTATAAGCCCAGTAGATGGTCGCGTTCTTTAGGATTAATTCTGACCCCGCGTGTCCGGAAAGAACTCGGTAGTTCCGTTTTCGATAAACACCGTTAACTTCTTCATTTTATTATATGTAATAATAAAGTGAGTACTAATGAAGACATCCTTCGCAACTATTACGGACAGAACTATGAAAAAGTAAAGGCGTCAATGCCTGTAGAAATGCGGAAAATGAAGGAGGATTTTAGGAAAAAAAATCCGGGTGCAGAAATGTCTAAATTTGACTTTCAGGTTACATTTGCAAAGGACGGAACCCTAGAATCCAAGGACATATTCTTTGAGGTTACGGACTTGGAAAGTTACGACATTAAATCCAGCACATTCAGGGGAAATAAAAAGTGGACGTGGTACCTTTACCAATGGGAGAGAATATGGGGTAATTACGGAACCGTTCAAACCTTTAGACATAACAAGGACTCACTACCGTACAGAATAAATAAGTTCGAAATTTATGTTTGTGACTGCATTAATGGCTTCCACAACAGCTTTGTATCCAACTTCGCCGATCTCGACACGAAGTGGACCGGTACCATAAAGGATATCACCAGGGTAAAGTTTGATTATATAAACGATCCCTATTTTGCATCGATACTGGCTGCTTACATTATTACGTATAAGTGTCGGATAAGTACGGAACACCTGTTGGAAAGCAAAGAAACCTCGAGGGTAATCACCAGTATTGCTAGGTATCACCTATACTACCACATGCGTAGGTTTCTCAGAAATCCAAGCAAAATGACGAAGTACGTAACGAAGGATATGCTAAAGTCCCTACAAAGAAACATGCCCACACAAAAAACATGGGTTGACAAATTCCACCGAGGACAAATAGAAATAGGTCTCTGGCATAGCAGACTTCCGGATAAAAGTAGGGTTAGGAATTACAAATATTCATACTACTATACCGGTGGTGTAATGGGAATTAGCTATCAGGAAGTAGACAAGGTCGTTAACAACAGCGACACGGACTACACCCAGTTCATAGCTAAGAAATCGGACGGATTGACACCTCTGGGATTAAAGCTACTTCAGCAATCTATCGAAAGTTACGTCTACTGCGTATTAGGTGCGCAAGCACAAACACGTTGGTCTATCGTTGGTAAAGGGGCGAAGTCCCTGCAGAGTCAGGACGTATTTCACAGACTTTTGAAAGATACCTTTTCGCAAGACGATGTATCGGTATCCATCTCCAATATGGGGAGGGCAATAAAGGATACTAACGTTGTACTTAACATGGCAATATCACCCGGACTGATACTGATACCATCCAATATGATCATACTCAGGGAAAAAGTAGCGGGGTACAACAATACACTCACACTAGCAACAAAGGACATGAAGTTTGGTAGTAATACGCATGTTAACTACTCAAAGCCAAAGGAGGTAAGGAAGGGTCCGGATGTAAAAGTCCAAAACCCTATACCACGCAAAAACCAGAACCCCATACCGCATCCTAACACGGTAAGCGTACCAAAAGCATCAAACAATCTGGTTTACCTCCTCGGCACTATGTTCGTCGGTGGGGTTATCACTTCAAGATGGGTATTATTTTCGTATTAATAAAAGAATGAATAGCGACAGCAGCAAAGTTAAGGGAAAGTTGAAAAAGGATAAAACTATATAGCCTGCGTAGCAGGCGGTAGAAGCTAGAAATACCGCCTGCCCAAAAACTACACATTCTGAGTTCCGCCCACCGCATGGTCCCGCCCATCTTACAGTAATGTATTTATTTTAATTATTTGTCAAACTCCGACACGTATTTACACCGGTGCAAATATACGACTTTGACGTTTCATATCTTCGGTTCATTCAATGCTATGAAGATAAAAATACCACGT